CAGTGCGTTTTTACTGCCTTAAACGCGGCATAATTTTCATCCTCCCGGGTAGACCTGAACGCGTGCGATCATTTACGCAACGAATGGGGTGTAAACTGTAAATACTTGGCTGCTTTTGCTCCCTGTCGAGCAGACTCCCGTCGTTAAGAGCGCGGAACAAGGTCTCTCGCGCCGGACTTCGCCTTTCTCGTCGCTGCTACCCTAGGGTCGCGGGGGCATCCTATCGCGTAAATCCGCGCAGCTAAGAATTTCCAGGGAAGCTACGTCGCGATGCATGCATATGCATGCAGCGCGCCTACTGCGTATACGCCAACGCCAGTAGACATCGGATGGAAAGTAACTGCCAATTAGCGGGGTGCCCGAAGGAGGAAACCTGAGTACTCATCGGTCGAGTCGCATATTTTACTGATGACTCACTTTACATTGTCCCTGTTCTTCCCGCAGTCAATAATTTTCGAAACTAGACTCGCCTACTAACAGGGAAACGCAACGGCTGACAATGTGAAAACGTTTTGTAAGCACATGGCGCAGGCCATGATATATGACTGCGGTCACGAGACTCCTCGGGAGCACACGCTGTTCAGTTCGCAAGAAAAAGACAGATGCGTGAAAAATCTCGAATTCGGGACAGTTTTATGACCTGAAAAAATAAATGGCAAGAAACAACGGTTCCGCAATTTTAAGATAATAACTCACGGAGAAATCAGCTCTCACTTTTTTAGTTTTGTGTGAAACTTGAGCGAAAAGGAAGTCTTTGGAAAAAGACTATTTTGATCCAACACGAGAAGCGAGTCTGCAGTGTACGTGGATTAAGGTCACGAGGACTTCAATGAGATGCAACGTGCGTGGTCGAGAATGAATACATACTTGCGTAGCCTTGACTACAATTAGATAAGCAGGCGATTCGCGTACTCGCTCTTTTGATCGGCTGTGAGAAGCGGCGGATACGCACTCCGACTCGTTGATTCTTGTGTCAATTCGATTCAAAAGTCACCCTGTCGGCATACATACATATTTCCTGACAATCATGCAGAGAAATCCGGTTCTTACGGTAATCGAATCGGATGACGGGAGTAGGTAAACCGCGCAACGAGTTTTGCGCGCGCACAGGTGCATCGATTACGTTGTATGCCTGGAGATAAATAATTTATGAAAGTTACTCCCGATGAAAGCGAGTCATATATACTTCTACATCATTCGTATTTCTACTTTCACTGTTGTAACCCATATAATTCAAGTTGATTTATTAATTATTTTTTCCTACATGCTTTCACAATTTCTGACAGTTCATAATTAGTTAATTATAATGTTACGTGTTTGTGTACGTTTTGCAAAAAGGTCTTTTTTTAATTTATTATACAATTAATAATTTTTCAAAATATATAAAGCAGTATAATTAAAACATATAATAGTAAATATTTCTTAGAAAAAAAAAAGAAAGACACGTCAGATCAGTTATAAAATCCATAAATAAAAATTGTTAGAATTTTTCAACTTATTCCGGACATCATATCTTCATTGTAACGCATAATTATGACACTCAGACGCCTGCTAGTTAATATCAGCCGCTAAACTCGTGATTATCTGCGCAAAATACCACCTTTCCCTCGCTGCGTTAACGACCAACGAAATCGAGCCAAATTATAAACGTCGCCGTAATTTATCATTTCGACGTTAAAAACAAAGTTCGAGTTAGAGTAATATCAGTAACAGCTGGTCCATACGCCTCTTCTCATCGTTAAACCCGACGCACCCTCGGAAACGGCCGCGATGGACGATAGCCCCGCTCCTGTACGGTCAAGAACGCACACGCGAGGCCCGCAGGTGCGCGCGCGTACATATACGCAGATAACGACGTCCTCGGACGCAGATCGCGACGTAGATTTATCTGGCGCGAAGACCGCTGACGCTGTTCCCTCGCGCGCCACCAACTCCTCCCCTTTGATAATCGTGAGGGGGGCCTTTTTCTCTCTCCCCGTCTGAATTCCGAATGTGGCGAGATGCGGAGATGAGAAGGAGAGAGAAAGAGAGAGAGACGAAGCTAAAATATGGAAGAAGGAGCATGGAACGGACTCGCGTGAAAAAAGCGGGATTTATTAATGCAAAGTCAGAATTTATTAAAGCAGGATTATTCATTAACCCAGAAAAAGGTTAAAGAATTAATGAGCTTAATATTTATATAGCAGCTCTAGAAATTTACGCACTCGCGTCAGAATTTTCGCAGGCTGTTTATCTTCGGACACCGCGCTAGAGATTCATGTATGTGCACTCCAGGTGTTTGTACAGGCTGCAGATAATCGAAGCCATCCGATACACCACAATTTTCTTCAGGAAGGGCGAGTAGATTACGTGACGTGTACGAGTCGAATAACCGGTCGAAGCAAAATTGTCTAACTGTTTAAGACACAACGTTGATAGATCTGGTCAAATGTGCCTGGCCTCTGGCAACGCATCTGTCATTTAGCGATGCATTGACCATATGCTCTTACTTCGAATTTAATATCATTAGTGAAATCCATTAATGTGCATTATAAATAATGCTATTTTCAAGAAAAAGATTGCACCGTGGAATTTTCATGTCGCTGGTACTTTATTACAAAACTTGATTATGCTGGCGCGCCAAGAGAATATTGGCACTACAATGATTTAAAATCCGCGCATATCCTTTAGGTATGTCACATTCTTGGCTCGACGTGCTATAAATACGCAATAGTAAACTTTTAACGAGGCGATTATGGCCGCGTCTGTCTGCGAGATTAACGCGTATCTTCTAATTGGCAATAGTAATTATGGTGGAATCGAGGCGATCTAATGGCGCAAATTAAACGTAGCTGTCAACCGCAATGATAGATGTCAATCCGCACGTACGCTCGCTGATGTTATGGCGTGATTTCGATTCGCAATCGAGTCGCAGAGGCCGTATGGACGCTTTGTCGTACCATTACTAGCGCGGAGAATTAATGTTCGCACGGGAAATAAATTCCCCTTTACATGGTAAAATAATTCTCGTAAAACGCGCTCGCCGCTATATTCATAATTTAATGGCCATAATTTACCGATAGTTGTATACTCCGCGAGCGATGCTCGTGCCTAGGCAAAATATTACATACGCCCGTACTTCTTAGTATCGCTACAGCGATATAAATGCTCATGGATGGGCGGTCTTGATCGCGGCACGTATAAGCAGGTAGGTCAGTTAACCGGTGAAAATTGCTTCGGCGCGATCTAAAGGTAGTCATCACGGGCTGTCTCGCTTTCGCGCACGCATAGACAACTCCGAAAGCAGTACGTCGCATTACCATACACGGAATGCTCTCGATGTAAGTATATCTTACGAGTAATGTCTTAATCTTGCGAGCATTGTTCGCTGCGCGGAGATAAGAAGAGTGATTGTTTCGGTCGGAAGTGCGGCTGTCTCTCATACGTTGAATACCAATGCCGCGTATAATATAACACGCTATATTATAATGTAGCTCCATAGCAGAGCGGACATGAAGGTTTATTAATGCCAAAGTTTTCATAAAATCAGTTATTTTGCACACGTGTGCGCGGAAAATAAGTCGCAAAAAAATCAGCGACAAAAATAAATGTGTTATCTACGTTCTCATTCGTTAGGCAAAAGCGATAATCATGTAGCACCGCGTCCCGACCGTTAGAATGACGTTGTTTTACGCGGGTAACGATCCTCGAGATCTCATTTACAGTACAAATTAGTCGTAGGCCGGTCCTCCGTCTTTAATGGCCGGTCGGCACGCAAAGAAGTTAGGTTTAATGAAGACCGCGCGTTATCCGTGACGAACCATGCGCCCGCTCCGTTCGCAAGCGCGCGCGCGCGCGCGCGTTCGCTCGCTCGCTCGCTCGCAGTCGGCTGTGCGAATATGCGTGCGCCCGTACTCTCAGCGTATACCGGCTGAATGCAATTTAAACGAAGATTTATGCGACGACGCGTAAATATAAACAACAATGTGCAATCTCCGACGCATTGTCCCGCGTGGTAGACGTGCGAGAGTCGACAATGCAAACTAATAAGCTCGTCGGTCGCGAAATCGCGCGCACGCTTCTCGTCTTTCCTCTCGGCGACGCGACCCCGGCTTCGGCTACTGCATCTTC